GTTTTTGTTGACCAGTTTGGTCAGCAGAATCTGTGGTGAAGAGCTTCTTGGTAATCTCTAATGAGAATAGCTTGTGTAAAGAGTCCTGGCTGTTACTGGAATGCAAGGTACACTTCCAAGGGATGAGAGATGCAAAGATGGATTGCCATGCTTTTGGAAGGAGTTAGAAGCAATGAGCCTTTACTCATTTCAAAGCATACCTTAAAAATCCTAGGATTTTCTCAATGCTGAAGCAAAACAATTACTGTCCTGCTCAAGCTGTTCTTCCACCATGGCAGTGTATCTCCAAGTAATGCAAACTGTGGGAGCTTTGGGTGCATCTTTAAGCAGTATCATGCTGCATCATCCCATGGAATTGCCATGATTCACCAAGTTTCAAATCTTTTAAAGACCTTGGTATCATTGAAGATGAAGGTTATAAATCATTTTGAGAGGAGCTGATTTAAAGTAGAGATATTTTCTCCGAGGAGACAAATTTAAAACACATTTACTGCAGTTTTTCAATTTTATGTTGGAAATGTCTGAGTGTATCCCGTTCGATTTCCACTTCTTGTATCAAGTATTCATTATTTTTCCAGAAAGTTGTAACTAGGTTAGAAAGCACCACTAGGTCAATTCTTAGTTTGATAATAACAGCCTGAAATCCCAATGCTGATCACTGAAGTGCTTCTTCAAACATCTCTTTTGAACAGTGCTGGCTGTAATGGCATAACAATCATACTTGGAGGTTCACATGAGGAAAATATGTTTATGTAATAAGTCAAATTGGAGTACTCTTTCACATATCTCTTGTAAATACACACTAGAGCAATAGTCACTGGGTAAATTTGTTACTGTGATCTGTTAGTAATAGACTACAGATTATTCATACAAATGGTGCTTGTTAAGGCCAGCTTTGCAGGGCTAGGTCTCTGGCTGACCAAGTGATACTGTATTAATGGAAATAGTTGCCTATAAAGAAATTGCATCTCTTGGACTGTTAATGAAGAAAATAACAGGCTTCAAAGACGAGGCAAAAAATTCAACCATCACAACATATGAGAATGATTTTCTTAATATTAGTGTTCCACAGCTAGAGAAAAATTAGTGTGATGGTTTGCTGGAATACAGTAAAAAAAGGTCACCCGGCCCTTTGCCAACTTCTTCTGATCAACAGTCATTTTTATAGAATTTCAGACAGGCAGAAAAGTTGTTTGGCTCTGAAAGGTGAAGGAAAACAAGTGGGTGTTTGAAAGGAGGTGGCTTAGATTTTCTGGAATTCTTTGGAAACACTCATGTCTAAAGTGTTAATTTTTAAGCAGCATTTGTCAGGTGTCCTTGGGCAGCACCCCATTACTGGCTCAATAAATATATTAGTGGTGGTGTTGTACGCACCCAGAACAAAGGCACTTTTGCACTCTTCAAACCCATTTTGAGTGGTGACTGTGCAGCACTAACTACAGCTGCTGCCAAGCCACAGCAGGCTTCATACCTTGATATCTCATGATTCAAAAGGTACATTGGTCCTTTTTCAGATGCCATTCTGCTTACAAGAGCAGATGCAGGCCTTATCTTAAAGGTTGAGCTCTGTCAGGTCATGTTTAGGAGCTTCTGGAGCTAGCACAGGGGAAAACTCTGGTACCTTCCCACATCCCTCTCCTTAACCTCTCACACTACCTGGCTTCTGACCAGCTATCTCTCCTGGTGGCTCTGTTCTCTTAACTTACACTCTTCTAGTTTTGGCACATTCCTGGCATTATCCTAAAATGCATTTCTTAATATGGTATGTCACCCTTTTCCCTCATGTCAATCCATACTCTCAGCTCTGAAGTGCCACATGTCAGAGCCCTCTTTACCCCTCTGCTGCAGCTGAAGCTGAGCAGTGTGTCTGCCATAGCTTTTGATATTCTTGTTTATACAGGGTAGAACTTTTGCATGGCATAGCATACCTTACATTAAAGACCCATTTTCAGTAATGACCTACGTGGGGAATCTTACAAAGAATTTTAAAAAGCATTTGACAGGGTGAAGTCAAAATATTTTATGCTCTTTCACATGACATATTGGACTATAGATTTTGTCCTTTCTATATCTTCAGGTATTTGTATACAGAATCAGTTAAAAACTGCCTCTCTCTTAAAAAAATACTTATAAAAAAATGGAAAACTCTTTCAAATCACATTTTCCCTTGGCATTTTTTCCCCTTCTCCCTCCTCTTTATACATACATATATGTTTGAAAATAAAAAATAGAAAAATAAGCTTTTTTTTCAAGTTGAAGGAATGATGCCAATTGTAAGGATCTTAATTAAAATAGGAACTGTTAAAAAGGACTATTTCACTTTATTTATTCAAGTTCTGCTTGTGAGAATGTGAAAGGAAATATTTTTATATACTTGAGATTTTTGTAAAAGCTTGTTTTGCCTAGTTCTAAGGAACAGGGTAGCACTAATTTGGCAGTATTTCTGGGAAATTGAACAGTTGAAAAGGTAAAAAGGATTTTATGTTATCTTTGGGTTTTTAGTGTTACTTTGCTTAGAGATTAACATACAAAATCCAGTTGCCTTCAGAAGGCATCACAATCATTATAAATTGCTCAAATCTTGATGTATTAACTATTTATTTTGGAAAAAAATTACTTATTATCCCAAACTTACCTATGTAGTACCTTATCTTATTAGAAAACAAAACAAAACAGAAATCCAAACCCCATGTTTCTTAGGAACTGCAACATCAGTTCCACAGGGGATTCTATTAATTCAAATACTTTTGTCTGAATTTCAAAAAAGAAGCCAAATATTGTTTATCTATTGGAAAAAGAAAAAATTGTTTTTCAAGTAGAGGGAATGGAAGTGCTTAGATATGATAGTGCCAAATGCTCATATTTTTTAAGTGCTTTTATTCATTTTATATGCATTAACTTCAAAATTAGAGCAAGATATCAATAACACTAGATGTATGGTCATGGAATGTCCTGAATTAGGCTCTTTACAATGAAAACTGTGTGCCCACTTCCCCAGTGCCCTTCTCTTCAGGATGAGGGTCTATTGAAACAGCCTGGTTTGAGGCTTGATCTCACAGACATCAGGGATGGAAAAAGGAACTTCCACAGACTAATGAGACCTGGGAAAAATCTGTGGCTTGTAGCACAGTGGGGATCAGATAGCCACAGCCCTGGAGATCAGTAAGGAATTTATGACATACACATGGACTCATAGCGTGGTATTTAAAATTACATGTTCATCCTGAAGTGAAAGAGAGGCTTTCCAGTAGTGTGCTGAGGAAATACTCCCACTACTTCTGCTGTAGAGTACCTGTGAATCAGCACTTTCTTATTTCTATGTGTCTTTTGAAATTTCTCTGTACAGAACATCCTGCGGTTGGAAAATCACAGGCGTGTCTGCAACCCTCCAGCGGAGACAGAGTGATTCAGAGGCCCTCAGATGGTGATGGAAAACAGAGAACCAGACTTCAGGTGTAAACTGGAGAGAACTTTTCTGCCAGCGAGGCGTCCTTTGAGGTGGTTGCAGCTCAAAAGAGTTGAAATGAGAAGAGCCAGAGTTTGACTAGAAGCCAAAAAAAGACCAGCTGAGGTCAGTTAACCTACCACGCTGCATGTGGGAGATCTATGATCGGGCACCGTCGCTGCCTGCTCTGAAATAGTGTAATTGAAGGGATACAGTCTTCAAAGGTATCCTTGCCTGAATGGCAGCTTCTAGGGCTCGCTAGGCACTGCTGATGGAGGATTCAGAAAAATGCTGCAACTGGTGAGAGAAATCATGCTACTCATGTAACAAACTAGTGTTCAGGGAGGGAGTCCTTGTGGAGGGATAGAAAAAGTATGGAGAGGCAGACCAAGATGCTCAAACGTATGAAAGCAGCAGCTGAATAGAGTTGGACTTCTCATCCTGTCAGTGATGGAGTACCATGACAGGGACAAAAAATCGTGGGTCTAAGCTTCTTGGCGACTTGAAGGTGACTTCCAGTTTTGTTATTATTCTTAGCTGACATTCAGATACCCAAAAACTTGAGGAAACATTCTGGACTTTACCCACTGCTTTCTTGATATGTCTCCGACACAGGTGAGAGTACTTATTTTGCAGACATTTATAAAATCATGTGAGAAGGAAATGCAGGAAGCAGACATATTCAAAGCTAAATGGATAATGGAGCTTGGAATAACAACCATTCAAAAGGCCCAATACATTCATCATCACCTCTCCATTCTGAAGAGAATGTCAAAGTGGTGATATTTCAGTAGTCTGCTAATAATAAAAACAAGCAGAGAGAACTGTAGCTATTGGAAGACAAAATTAAATGTGAATAAAGATAAACAATTTCTTTCACTTTCTTGGAAATTATCTCCTCTGTCTTCTCATTGCTTTCATCAGAAATGTGCACTCACACCTAGCCACAATTTCCTTCCCCCAAATCCTAAATGAGAAAGCCCACAATAGGTGATGAAGACGTTGCAATTGCTAGCCTAGCTGCACAAGATATTATCTAATGTCAAAATTCTTGTTCAACATGGCATGCAATTCCTGTTCAGCAAGGGCACAGAGTTGATAAATTTCTGGACTTTTCCTTTAACCTCCCCTGACTTCTTAGACCTTTTGCATAACTGCACATTTCACAAATCTGTAACTGTACCAGAAAAATTTGGTGCCCTGAGGTCAAGATTCAGTTGAGTTCTGTCATCATTGATGCCTGCTCTCAATTCTGGGTTTGGCAAGCTGGCTAACCTGCCTTTAATGAAGGTGATCTGTGAGAACTCCAGATCTGAAGACATAAGCAAAAAATTCACAAACCTGAAGCTAGATCATTTGAAGGCAAATCTTAACATTATAAATATGTGCCAGTAGCTTCCTCCAGAGGTTTTGGAAATTAGATAGAAATTTCCACTGAAAATTTCAGCTGCTTTGCAATGGTTACTGCTGTGGCTAACCAGGTTTGGAATAGGTCTGCTGACTGGATTTTGTTGATCCCTTGAGCAATAAATCTTGCAGTAGAAAGAATAAAGCAGAAGGTTCTAATAGAATTTTCACCTAGAAAATTTCATTTGAGACATGCTCATCTATGGAGAACCTGATCTTTCAAACAGCCTACTCCCTGATACCTTCCATCGTATTTGATGGCACCAAGCACTTCATGTGGTCAAGGAGGCACAGATTCCTTCGCATCAGAAGGAGAGAGCACCAGGCAGAATCTTCCTCTAAAAGCAGCCATGCAACTTAGAGGCAAAATTCAGCCCTTCAAAACTGATGATCCAAATGAAGTTATTATTTCAATACTATTGTTACTGGTCTGGTGTCAGTGAAGCAATGTCACTTCTCTGAACAAAATGACTCAGCACCTTCCAGAAGAAAGAACTCTGGTGCTGACCTCTGCCTGTCCTTGACATACTGGGGTTGTCATGGTGCCTCAAAGGACCTAAGGAAAAGCAACAAGAACTCCTAAATAATTTGGCAAGAAGGAAAATGCCCTCTTGTCAGAAAGTTTCCCTTAGCCCTGTATAGAACAAGATCTATCTGTCTGACAAACAGTTAACTTCTAGTTTAAGATATAAAGACAGTCTCATATTTATGAAAATTCTTTTAAAAATAAAGCAGTTTATGTTTGCAGTGCAGGGATAGTCAGAGAAAGTATGTTACTTATGAGACATATTTGGCCCAGCTCCCACCCTTGGAGTATGATAATCAGATCTGGATGAATATACATGGACTTTTCTCTTCTGGGAGTGCTGGACCACATCATGCTGAAATGGCAACAGCTGGAAATATATTTGATGTTCATCAAGTATATTTGAATGCTCTTTTTTACCTTGGCAACAGTTTCAAGGATCCTTGTAAATCCTTCCAAATGCAGTTTCTTCTGTGGTTTTGTGGTTCCTTTATTGCAAATTCACCTGGGCCAAATTCTTACTCAGCTTTCTTTTGGGAAAAAAAAGTCACAGAAATGCCTCTGAGGACTTGTATAAGTGAATGCTCAGGAAAAATGTAAGCCAAAATATTTGATCTACCTTAAGAGCTATAGAAAACTGCATCTCTCAGTTGTCCCATGTTTGTGCTACCACTGGTTTCTCCAAACTGCAAGTGCTGAGGGATTTTTTTTCATTTTTACTGTTTAAACTCTGCCATCCTTCCCTAAATTCCTTTATAGGCTGAGTAGCAAGGTTAAAGTTCTTCCATTCAGTACCCTTTTTACTTCAAAAATGCTGACATTACCGACCTCGTGTCTCACTAAATACTCTGCAGCATTTCCATCCTCTTTTGGATACTGTATTTGTAGGTCTCTCCTGGGCATTGCAGTCCTATTGAAAGGCCAGCTGTGTGAGAAGCCACTGAAGAGTGTCTGTCTGTGACCTCATAACTCTTGAGTCCTCTATTTTTATCTCCATGGCTCCAATTAAGGTATGCGGCAGCTGAGGTTTTTTCACATGGGCAGAACAGACTTGTGAAATAGTAGTATCCATAAGGTGAAGAAAGTGTCTGTCTCTCTTTGGGTGCTCTACTCAGAGCTCCCTGAGCTCTTAAGGCACCCTGAGCACCATCACATGGGTATTTCTTGGGAGAATTCTTGAAAGAGAAACCAGCACATGGCAGCTGAGTGTTAGTGACCAGCCTTGCATTTTTATGTAGTCCTTATGGGAGGAGAATTGATGCTGGAGTACTTTTGTCCTGTGCCTGTGTGTGGATGGAAACAGGCTCAGTCACTCATGGGCTGTGTTTGGCTTAGGATCATACACATTTTTTGGACTGTGCCACTTGTACAGCTTACAAGCTATGTGGATTTTGCTAGAGCAGAACTCAGTAGAACTAACTGAGAACTATTTTAGACAGATTTGGAAAGTATGTTGGGACTGTTTTCATTTGCTCATGAAGACAAATGCTTTAGTTAGAAGTTCTTAGAATTAGAATTATAAAGCAACTCCAAAATCACAGAAAAAATTAAATAACCTCATGTCACTAAATGCAAACCTCAGGACTTTCCAGGGCTTTGACTAAGTTCTTGCTTCTTCCTAGAAAAACTGTATATTTCCCATATCCTTTGTCTGAGAGCTCCTATTTCAGTGTTTGCAGGATGGGAGATGAAGAAAATATGAAAAAATCATGACTCCTGGGTTGTAGGGTAGGCAACTCACTCAGAGCAAACAAGAAGAGGCTGATTCATGGCCTACTGCTAATTGGAGTTACCCATAGAATTGGGATGTGTTAATCTGTAGATCACAGAGAGACAGATGACTAGACAGAGCACAGGCGAAGATGAGGGAGAGATTAATTTGGTAGAATTCTCTATGATTTATTGTGTGATTATCCCAGCCATCCCAATGGACATCACTTGCACACAGTAGCTAGAGTCCTGCAATATGCAACAAGAAGGTTCCTGCAGATCTGCAAGGGATTGTTACTGGCCATTTTCCTCTCTGATTTACAAACATTTGCCTGAGAAAAGGAAATAAAACTTTAGTAAGTGGAAAACAAACAAACAAACAAAACTTTATTAAGGCTTTTATTTGTGGCAAAATATTTTAAGAAAACACGTTTGGTACAAATGGTGTTCTATATCTCCCTGGGTTATTTTCTTTCTTCTTTTGTGAGATGACTTTATTATCTTCCTGGGTTTTTTATCATTATAATGGTTGTGGTTGGTGTAAGGGAAGGGTCTTATGATTAATATTTTATTCTGGTAAAGATCAGATCAATACTTTTTGCTCCCTTTTTTAGATTTAATTTAATATAGGCTGCTTCTTTTCCAGGGTTGTTAACTTCCTCCACAACTTTTCTGTCTACAGATCTTTCACACTCACGTAAATTTTTCTCTCGCAACTTTTGATTTAATATTGATATTGTGACTTGGAAGGAGAGCTCCTTCCAGGAGGAGGGTGCAAGATGAGGTGTCCAGACTTTGTTCACTGTGCAGATTTTTTTGGACTGTATCAGGTCTTGTGAATTATGTGGACCCAGGCTTGAGTCCAGCTTGTCAGAAAAGCAGTAACCTTCCTGCACTTCCTCATCATGTCCAAGAATACTCAGGAGGAGATACAAATAGGGAAACACAATAAGAAATCTTTGAACTCTGCTTCTTGTCCTGATTTTTATCTCCTTTTTCTGGCTTTGTCATATGAGGATCTTTCACACTCTTTCTATGAGGATTATGTGCTTTGCTACACCTCAGTGTAGCAGGAAGATGAGGACAGCTCTCAGGTGTAGGCTGCTGCTTATGTTGTGCCTTGCTCTTTTTAAAGCTCTGAAGAGCAGCCCAGATATGCCTGTGGAATGTCTGTGGCTTCAGCCATATAAAAGCCCTTGTTGTGCAGACAAGATGATGAGATTTTAAATAAATTAACTAAGTATGGGTAACAATTGTTAAAGCTTCTGAGGACTGTAAAGGTAAGAGCAAGATGCAGGAGTCAACAGTTCTAAAATATTTATATTGTAAAAGAGCACATGACTTTGTGTGCTGAAAGGAACTGGAAACTTACACATTTGCTGATATTTCAAATATTTGTTAAAAGTTATAAACTGTAATGGACCCAAATCCTTGATTGTCACTGACTTCTCTTGAAACAGGTTTGAGCTTATGATAGAGGGGATAAATTGCAAATGTATCAATTTCTTAGTCTCTCTTTTTTTTTTTTTTTTTCCTCCATGGATTGACTTTCTCTCCCACTTCTGGGAACATTAGGACCTCACTAAGAGCTGTTCTTCTTTTGAGTCTTCTAGTAAACACAGAGGTTGCTGACTGGAAATCCCCATCTCTGTCTGTCTGTCCCTCCCAGTGGATCACAGGCAGCACTCCAGTAGGAAATACCTCAGTCTTCTAGGTCAAGTGGGACCTAGGGACCATGGGAATGAATGCATTATTCCCATGCATGTGACCAGGCTCTGCCCTTTGCTTTGCTGTTGCCTTCCACAGCACATCAGTGAGGTGCACAAGGTGCCTTTCTGTTGTTCACTTTATGAGTGATTTTGGTAACAAACACGTATACTAACTCAGCCTGGTGTTGGTTCATTATTTCAGTACTTTCCCTGCCAGCATGGATGGTTTGACCACACATTTAGTTGGTCTGTTATACAGACTATTTTTCATGATTGCCCAGTGGGAGGGGGGTGTTGCCTGGGGGACTGTTACTATTATTTTAAAAAGTATTTTGGATGACGTTTGCCTGTACAAATTGGCAAGGGGAATTAAGAGACCTGAAATAACTTTTAACTCCGTTATGAAGATATATCCTATAATGAACAAATGTCCATTCTGATAGACTTGTGGAACTAGAGAAGAGATTGATTTTTTTGTGTTTAAGTAGAACTCACTGTCAGCAATGATACACAGCCTCTGACTTGACTGTGTTTTGCTTATGTTGAACTCCGAAGGAAAGTCATAAGGGAAAAATGAGATTAGGCCAGTAAAGTCTTCAAGATTCCAGTTTCATGCCTGGTAAGAATAGGACTCCTAATGATAATAAGCAGAGACAGAAGAATCAAGGCAAGGAGGAAAGTGTGTGTGAGACTGCCAGGGAAAAGCAGACTTCAGAAAAAGTGGATTTGTTGATTTACAAAGGAGACAATCTTTTCACTGAATGAAGATACTACATAATTTTCTTTAATAATTTTGAAGATTGGGTATGGAAACTGAGGATCAGTCTAGAGTTATCTCTTTTTATCAATGTTATGTTTTTGTAAGAATATGCAGAGATTTCTTTTTCATAACAGGCATTCTGTATTACTTGGAAAATTATCAAGAAAGGGTTCCCTGCATACAGAAAACACTTTCCATACTCAAGGTTCACTTGGCAAGGAGAGAGAATGAACTGATTCTGTAATGAGTTCCCTATTCTGAAAAAAAATAGGAAGGACATGGTGAACAAAGAAAGAAATGTTCATAAATCCAATGTGTCCTTGGGAAGAACAAGGCTTCTAAGGCTTAGAAGATAAAGCAGCAAGCTCTGAGACTCATGGGGGCAGAAATTAATGGCAAACAGGAAAAGAATTAAAAGGCTTCAATCATTAGTAGTTTCAAAGGAAGAGTTTCCTTTGTTTTCCTTGCCTTAAATGGAGGTTGATGTGGATCCTCGAGAGCTAGATTTAACCTTGATGCAGAGCCTGAAAAGAAGTTTGAACGAAACATTTGTGGCTGTTGACCCAAATGATAACCTAACACTGAGCATGGTGTTTCACAGCCCCATAGAACAGTGTTGATTATGACCTTAAGATCTTCACAACCTCCTGGGAATACCAGAAAACACCATCCCCACCCCTCAGCTTGAAAGTGATAATGGCACAGAGAGGACATCTGAGCTTCCATGGGAGTGAAACTCTTAGTCAGTCCTCTCTGGTTTTCAGATCTCTATTGTTCTTGTGCTCTAAGGTTTGCAGTGCTGAACTGTGCTGAACATAGCTACTGCAGTAGCTGTGTTGTTGTGAAGCTTCTGCTGTCTGATCTGCTCTGTGTAAAGAGATGCGTTCCCCCTCTTTCTGGTGTACTTAAATACAGTGGGATGAACAGCCCCCTGGAGCTCTCTCCGTTTACTGCAGAGAAAGCATAAACAGCTGAGCTGATTTAGGCTCTATCAAACTCCTAACTATCCATGGTGAGAGGAGAAGAATCTAACCTGAGCCCACTGGAGATAGGTCTGAGTATGTCAAAGAAAGCAAAACCAGAGTGAGGGCTACAGTGAAGGTGGCTGAGAAAAAGGCAAGTGGAAATTAAGATGACAAATCCTTACTGCAGGGTCTCTAATGTAAGATGTGATGTGTGGGTGTGACTGAATTAGTGGCACCTGCTGTGATACCATTGACTGCTGAAGCCTGGCTGTCCTGTAGGACACAGAGATCCAACTGATGCAAGGGGATAGCAGGGGATTATGTGAAAGCCACCACCCTGGTATCGCTGGATGTAGTGAGCTCCAGGATGTGTTTCTGAGAGCTGTGGGCAAAGAGGAGATAGAGGCCTGTGCTGACTCAGATGACAGGGTGATGAGGTCATGGAACGTAAAGGGTTCAGCCTTCCTGAAGAAGCCTCTTTCCAGTAGGAAAATTTAGTTACGTCCAGCTGAGGGGAACAAAGTTTGTATCATATAAGGCCCCAAAAGTGACTTCATGGATGAGAGAGACAAGATATCAGATAATTTCAGAATGATTGTGGTGTTCAGATCTGGGTCATTAGGCTGAGGACCAAAGAGCTGAGCAGTCTTGGGAGACAGCAGGAGGTTTCTGGGCTGTGAGTTCCTGCTTTCTTTACCAAGGTTGCAATATGAAGGGAGGAGAGGAGTTCTCCCTGGGAGAAGCAAAATTTGGCCGAGTACCTTGATCCCTATTAATTACTGTCCTTTTTTTTTTGCCTGTGATCTCTTCAGACACCACCTAAAACATGTTGTGCT